CCATTAAGAGTTAAACTGGTCTTTCTTGATGAAGCAATTATCAAGCTAAGATCTGAAGGAAGAGGAAACATTAACCAGGTCTAAGAGGTGGAGAGGGAACAGTATGTGCAAAGGCCCTGTGGTTGGAAGGAGTCGACCACACTTTATACCTTTACTCAAAAGTCCCCTTCTAAAGAGCTCTTGCCTGGCTACTCTATATCTAAATTTGCTCCCCTATACTTTATACAGTAAGTCCCCTACATACTAATGAGTTGTGTTCCGAGAGCACGTTCATAAGTCCAATTTGTTCCTAATTCCAGCAAATTTAGCCTAGGTACCCAACTAACACAACTGGCTGTAGAGTACTGTACTGTAATAGGTTTATAATATTTTTCACACAAATAATACATAAACAAACACAAAAAGTAAAGAAAACATTTTTAATCTTACAGGACAGTACCTTGAAAAGTACAGTAGTACAGTACAACAGCTGGCACTTCTTAGCAGTACCAGCTACATCACCACTGCTTCTATTCTTGCTTCTGGACATCCTGGGCTTGAAATAAAGATACTGTACTACTATACTCTATACAGCGCTGTACAGTAAAGTACACAAAAGCACAACCACTTGCAGAGGATGCATGGACATGACAATATATACCAGACACGGGAACTCACTTAGGTGATTGGATATGCAAAAGCATGTTCGCATCTTTAAAAGTTGGCTACTTGAAGGTTCATGTGTAGGGGACTTACTGTATTATCCTTCCCTGCTTTATAGCTTCTCTTCAGCACTTATCACTCTTTAATGTAGTATTTATTTATTTTTTAAATTAAAAAATATTTATTTATTTATTTATTTTTGGCTGTGCTCGGTCTTCTTTGCTGTGCGCGGGCTTTCTCTAGTTGCGGCGAGCAGGATCTACTCTTCATTGCTGTGCGCGGGCTTCTTATTGCCATGGTTTCTCTTGCTGCGGAGCATGGGCTCTAGGTGCGCAAGCTTCACTAGTTGTGGCACGTGGGCTCACTAGTTGTGGAACATGGGCTCAGTAGTTGTGGCTCGCAGGCTCTAGAGCGCAGGCTCAGTAGTTGTGGCACATGGGCTTAGTTGCTCCACAGCATGTGGGATCTTCCCGGACTAGGGCTCGAACCCGTGTCCCCTGCATTGGCAGGAGTATTCTTAGCCAGTGCACCACCAGGGAAGTCCCTATATTTGTGTTTTTTAAAATTGCTGGGCAGGATTCTGAGTTATGACTATATCACAAATTACATACCCGTTCTTTACCTTCTTATGCCCCAAATTTCACTCCAAATATCGACTTTTGTATTCAATCCCAGCCCTTCCTCAGCTGATCCTGGTCCCGCAGAAATCCACAGATAAGCCCCCTCCCATCCCTGCCCATCCTTCCCTGGAGCCTCTCTGTGCCCTAGGGACCCCAAGCTCTAACTTCAACACCCACCATCCTGCCTATCGTGGGTTCAGCGCCCTGGGGCAGAAGGATAGGCCAGCCTTCCTGCTGCAGACGCTACCTGCCCTATTTCCCAGAGAGGAACTAGAGGAAGCCCACGTGCAGCAACAAAGGCCCAACGCAGCCAAAAATAAATTAAAAAAATTTTTTTTACACCTGGCAACCCTTGTGTCTGCATTGTCTCATTAAGCTTGTTCCGTGCTAATGTCTTAGGGTCTTGCATCTCTGTTTCTACCCCTTTTGCTGCCACCTACCCTCACATTTATCCTCCTCCTTCCCTGGTGACCCACTCCACCCTGTTCTGGAACACTGGGCAGGGAGAGGCAGGGAGTAAGCTGGGATCTCACCCCACTTCTGGGACCTTCCACCCTACACTCCTTCCTCTTTTCTCTTTGCATGACTCCCATATTCCCTAACTGAAGGACCTGGGATGGTGGAGGCAGGAGTCCAGGTGGTGAAGAGAGAGCCAGTCTTCCTGCTCTGGTCAGCAAGCCCAGCTGGAGAGGGGGTCCCCCCCGGCATCACTTTGGGGCCTGGATGTTCAGGGCCTCGTTGCCCATAAGGAAGTCCTCACGCTGACCACGTGAAGAGTTAACTGTTTATCCTCTAGAGGTGAATGTTACCTGTAAGGACTTTCTCCTCTTATGGCTGGTCAGCCAAGAGCCCAAGGACTAGGAGTGTGTCTGAGAGAGAGAGAGACAGACAGACAGAGAGACAGAGTCAGAGGGGTTCACAGGGCCTGAGCAATAGCGGTGGTGGTGCCTTCTCCAACGAGGGTTGGAGACAGACTGCTTGGATTTCCACTGCTGAGCTGCCTTGGGTTCTCCAGTTTCTCGAGATGATAGTTGATCCCCCAAAACAAACATTGAAGCAAATACCAACTTTCTGACTGGGGCATAACTGCCCCCGCAACACACAAGCTCACCCATCCATCCATCCATCATTTTTCCTTCCATCCATCATTAAACATTCGTTTGGTATCTCTCATGCAACAGCACAAAGTGGGGCACCAAGCATATGAAGCTGACTGAAATCCAGCTCCTGCCTTCCAGAAACTCGTGGTCTAGTTGAGAAGACACACAGGTAAATGAAAAAGGAAGGGTTTTAGGAATCATTTGTGTATTAATTCCTCTATTCAACACCTACTGAGCACTTGCAGTGTGGGGGGAGGTACGAACCCTGTCCTCGTGAGCTTATAGTCTATTGACAGAGGGGAGGATGGGGCTCGTGAGTTCTGAAACATGCCTACAAGGTAACCTCGAGGGCAAGAGAAGGATACAGGAGGCACACCAGCCTCATGCTGGATGTACCCCCTACCTCGCTCCTCTCACAGTCTATTGGCCAGATTTGGTCACGTGGTCACAACCTAACTGAAAGGTAGACCGGCGAACGCTGGCAAGCAGCTGAGATATTTGGCGAGCACAGGCTCTGCCGCAGCCACCAATAGTTTCCGCTGTTCCAAGTTGAGTCAAAGAGACTTTCCCTCATGGAATTTGAATACTGAGGCAAATAACTCGAGGACAAAAAGCGCTTCATCATCCTGACGGCAGTGCCTGAGGAGAGTGTCCACTAGTTCCTGTGCCCAGAGCTTCCGGGTTTCCAGTCCTTCCTGAGGACTGAGTTTAACTCTCACGGTGTTTAACCCTGTTCTTTTTTAAAAACTTCGGGACTTCCCTGGTGGCGCAGTGGTTAAGAATCCGCTTGCCACTACAGGGGACACGGGTTTGAGCCCTGGGCCGGGAAGATCCCACATGCCGCGGAGCAACTAAGCCCGTGCACCACTACTGAGCCTGCGCTCTAGAGCCCGTGAGCCACAACTACCGAAGCCCGCGCGCCTAGAGCCCGTGCTCTGCAGCAAGAGAAGCCACCCAATGAGAAGCCCAGGAACAGCAACGAAGAGCAGCCGCCGCCCCCC